TGAGCATCTTGGTAGTATTTGGCCCAACATCATTTATTGAAGAGACTGTCTTTTCCCCATTGTATATTTTTGATTCCTTTGTCATTAGTTAATTGACCACATATGACCAAATTGCATCTATATTTGTTGGGGGTATGGGGGGGTCTCTATTCTCTTCCATTGCTCTGTTTGCCAGTACAGTACTGTTTTGATTAGTATAACTTTGTAATAGAGTTTGAAATCGGGGGATATAATGCCTCACTCTATTTTTGATTTTTTCTTCTCAAGATTGCTTTGGTTATTTGGGGTCTTTGTGGTTCCATATTAATTTTGGAACTTTTTTTGTTGTACTTCTGTAAACACTGCATTTTTGTAGGGATGCATTGAATGTATAGGTTGCATTGTGTAGTATAGACTTTTAGATATATTAATTCTGTAATCCATGCTCATGAAATATCTCTATTTGTGTCTTCAATTTCTTTCATCAAGGTCTTTTAGTTTTCAGTGTACAGGTCTTTCACATTCTTGGTTAAATTTATTCCTAAGTTTTTTTTTTTTTTTTTTTTTTTTTTTTTTTTTAAGTACAATTGTAAATAGGATTATTTTCTCATTTTCTCTTTCTGGTGGTTTGTTATTTATATTAGATATAAGACAAATTTTATGTTGATTTTGTATCTTGCAATTTTACTGATTTATTTTGAGAGCTTTTTTTGATGAAATCTTTGGGGTTTCTATACACAATATAGGAGATGATCATGGATTTTATCTTCCATTGTTAATGTAATATATCACATTGAACTGTGGCCATTGAATCATTCTTGCAACTCTGGAGTGAGTCCCACTTGACCAAGGTGTATGACTTTTTTCATGCATTATTGAATTCAGTTTGCTCATATTTTGTTGAGAATTTTTGCATCTATATTTGTAAGGGATATTGCTATTTTTTTTTTTTCTTGTGTCCTTGTGTGGTTTTGACATTAAGGTAATACTGGTCTCATCAAATGCATCTGGAATTGTTCTGACCTCTTGTAATGTTTTGAAGATTTGAGAAAGAGTTCTCTTAATTCTGTCTTAAATATTTGATTGAATTCACCAGTGAAGCTGTCTGGCCCTGACTTTGATTTGTTGTTATATGTTTGATTTAGTCTATTAGTCGTCTGAGCAGACTCTCTTTATGATTCAGCTTTTGTAGGTTTTATATTTCTAGGAATTTATCACCTCCTCTACATCATCCAATTTGTTGGTGTATAATTATTCTTAATAGTCCCTGATGATCCTTTGTATATAAATGGTATCAGTTGCAATATCTGTCCTTTCATTTCTGATTTTATTTATGAGTCTTCTCATTTTTTTCTTGATGAGTTTACTAAAAGGTTTGTCAAACAAAGAATTGATTGTTTGTTTCATCTTTTCTGTTGTCTTTTTATAGTCTTTTTCATTTATTTCTGTGCTAATGTGTGTTTTCTTCCTTCTCCTAAGTCTGGCCTTCATCTATTCTTATATTTCCCTGAAATGCAAAATTAGGTTGAGATTACTCATTTCCTTAGTACACTGTCACTGTTAGAACCACTTGTGTGTCATCTCATATGTTTTGTTTGTTGCATTGTCATTTGTCTGAAGATATTTCCAATTTTTAATTTTTTTAGCCCATTTGTTATTTTGTAACATGTTATTTAATCTTCACATATTTTGTTATTTCTAGCTTATTTTTGCAAAATGTAGATTTGTGGCCTAACATGATGTATCCTGGAGAATATCCCATATGCACTTTAGAAGAATTTATATTCTATTGATTTTGGATGGAATGTTTTGTTTGTATCTATTAGGCCCATCTGGCATAATATGTCATTAAAGATGAATATTTTCTTATTGATTTTCTATCTGAATGATCTATCCATTGATGAAAGTGGGGTATTAAAGCCCCCTGATATATTATTTGTTACTATGTCTCCCCTTAAGTCTATTAATATTTGCCGTGTGTATGCTTCATTAGTAGATGTATAAATATTTATAAAAGTCATATCCTCTTTGGATTCTTTTTTAAAATGACTTTTTGTCTTTGTCTTAGTTACTTCTGTCTGATATAGCTGATAAACCAGCTTTTGCTTGATTTCTATTTGCGTGATTATCCATCCTTTCACTCTGTATCTTTACACTTGTTTTGAGTCTTTTGTAGCATAGAAGTGGGTGTTTTTTAAACATTAAAACATTGAGATATAATTATATAACATTAGTTTCAAATATACATGATTTGGTATTTGTATATATTGTGATATGATCACAGTAAGTCCAGCTAACATTCACCACAGGCACACATAGATGGGTCTTTTTTTTTTTTTTTAAGTCCATTTAGTTACTGTGTCTTTTGATTGGATACTTTTTGTGCATTTAAAGTAGTAGGTATGTCCTTATTGCCATTTTAATTGTTTTCTAGTGGCTTTGTAATTGCTTTGTTCCTTTTTTTGTCTTCCTCTGATTTGTAATGGTATGCTTACATTCCTTTCTATTTTTTTCTCTCAAGTCTGCTATAGGTTTTTTGCTTTGTGGTTCTTATTGTGAGTGGTTGTGCTGAAAATGGGGTTCATGGTGAAATTATCTCAGCCTCTCCTACCCATTTCAATGTGGGTTTTTTTCTAGTTCATGTGTTTGAGTCACTCAGCGGGTTTTGGGTTTGTTTCAGAGGATATTGTTCTGTATGTAACTAGATTTGGTGTGTCTGTGGGATGAGGAGTTCAGAACCCTTTAACCGTTTTGAAACAGAACCCTGTATTGTGTTACAAGATTAGTGGGTAATAGTGCAGTCTCCAGGAATTCAGCTGTCAGGGTTACTGCCCTACCTGCCCACTTTCTGGCTGGGAAGCCTTGGACCTTTGCCAAGTAGGGCTTAAGGGTAGCAAATGGCTTATGTTACTGGAGGACAAATGTGTTCATTACTCCTGTGTGCAGAACACTGGCACATGATAAAGACTCAGCGCCATAACTTCATCTGTCTCCTCCCCCCTGGGGTATCAACTTCATAAGGGCAGAACTCCCCCCCCCACATGCCCTGTGCAGGAATGCAGAGTATGGCTGAATGCTCTTGATTCACTGTACTCAGCCCTGTGCCATTCAGCTGACCACCGCCGCACAGTCCGACTTCTGCTTTTGTCTTCTCAGCCCTTCTCACAGCTTTCCAGCCTGTCCATAACTCATTTTTTGTGTTTTTGTAATCCTTCTGGGCATTAGCTGTGTGGCTGCTCTAGAAGCTGGAGAGTGGCAACACTTATTTGAAAATGAACTTTTCAAATTAGTAGCACCGTTACTGAATAATTGCCTAGGCTTTAGTGGGAATGTTAGGAAACATGACTAATTGCAAAGTTTTACAATTTTCCAGGTGTGCATTCATTAAAATTCATTAGTGTGACTTTATCTTACTAAGCAAGCAAATGCTGTGTTGTAAAGGGCCCCATGATGAGGTAGTGAAACCATTTGTGCAACATATGCAGGGTTCCTAAAAGAAACACCATAGACCAACAATGTAAGACAGAACAGAGGGGCAGAGTACAAGACACTTAGGAGAGTTGCATATTGCAGGGAACACTGCTGAGCTCTGGGGAGGAAACTAACCTCTAGTCTTCCAATGTTAAAGGTTTAAAAAGCTATCTTTAGTTTGTGGGGTTAGTTATCAGGCTCAAATCTAGATATGAAAATTAGCTTGGGAAAGAGAACTCACAGTTGGAGGCCACTTACAATCTGGGTACTTGTAAATGTATTAATGTATTCCTCATAGTCACTAATTACTAGATGAAGAGTTGTGATTTAAATCCAGGCCTGACTGATTTTTCCTGAAGTTGAGACCCTGCACTCTACAGTTTTACTTTATGCTGTTAAGCAGACAACCTCATGGGAAAGTATGGCTAGGTTCTATTTGAAAATGCTCTAAATTGAGTGGGTACAATGATCCAGCTAGTCTAGAAAAAGACAGCCTGTGGTTTATCTGTGCAAATGCATTTTTTTTCCCTGCTGTGCTGGTGAGCAGTTATGCAGCAGTTAGTGTTAATATCTCTCTGGATAGACGGTGATGGGGTCAGTCCCTGTACTGCTAGCTGGTGGCACATTTTTCCTTCAGGGGTTTATAATGAATCTCAGGCTCAAGGACAGCTGCCTAGTTAAACAAATGCTAATGGAAAACACAATTATAGAAAACACAATTATAGAGAGAAAAGCCAAACCACGTAGTCACCTTTCAGCTGCACTTGGCAAGTTGGTATGCTGGTAGAAAATAGTGTGTCTAACATTGGGTCACAATTTGCGGTTGAGCGAGAGTATTAACAAAAAGCACCAGTGGGTGTGATCTGGAAAACAGATCACTTGGAAAGGCACAAACTGTTGGAATAATGAAATAATTTTTTAAGGTGCTTCAACAGATATGAAAGTATGTTGTATGAAGTAAGGCAAAGAAGAAACTTTTCTGTTCAAATCAGCATTTTCCAAACTGGTGCCCAAAAGGGACTGTATGTCATGAGATGTTAAAACAAATGCCTTAAAATTTTTTTGTGGAAAAAGTATTTTATGGACAGATGTTCTAGGAATGATATGCACAATGACTCAAGGGTGGGGGGTGTGACCAGAACCCAAACTATTTTTTCTTTTTAGAGTATGACCTTTTATTTCCAGGAAAGTGGTCTATGGGGGAAAACAGCTGATTGTTAGATAAGTTTGGAAGTAAAAAATTGAGACAATAGGTGAATTATCTGAAATTTCTGATTTTTACAAGGAGGCATCAAACAAAAAGAGCAGAGGTCAGAATCACTTGACTGAGTGGTTCATAGGTGTGACAGTGAGCTCTAATAGTTTCACCACCGTAGACAAAGGTGCGGGAGAGGCTCCATTGGGCTTCTGTCTAGGTTGACATTCTCTGCTTAGGACCCAAGTTGTGTGGCAAGGTGACCTGCTTATTCCCGGAGAAAAGTGACGAGCTCCAGAACACCTGCACTTCTGGAGTGGCCCCTTAACATAAAGGAACCAGAAATGAAGCCTCCCATTCTTAAATAATATTTATTATTGTTGCAAAGAAGTCTTTATCATGAGAACAGGTCTCAGGTTTATTTAAAGATATATTGACTGTGGTTATAGAAGCAAATTTCACCAAAGTGCTATATATGAATATGCCCGACTACGACTCTTAATTCAGCAATCTAATATTCACAATGTGTTGGCTGCCATTTAGCTATTTACCCAAACATGCCTGTTTCATGTGCCCGCATAGGATGGAAAAAACACCAAGGGCTTGCTAAAAAGGAGAAGCCTAAAAAAGATAAAATCCCTGCGGCAGTTCTGTTTAACTGCAGTCTGTAAGGGCAGGAATAGTGTTCATGTGGGGAAGCGTTATGCCCAGTGGTTTCTCGGTTTTAATGGTGTGAAAGCCCTTGACGTCTTCTGCGGCTGTCAGGAGGGAGTGGGAAATTCCATTTACGGAATCCAGTCGATGTTCAGGCACCTCGCTATGAACGCAAACATATCCGAGACTTCTTCTATCACTTTGGCTGTTGGCTTCCCAGCCCCGTGGCCCGCCTTGGTGTCCACATGGATGAGCAGGGGGTTGCTCTGCTTCCGGCTGCGACCCACAATGTACTGGAGGGTGGCAATGAACTTCAGGGAGTGAAGCGGGACCACGCGGTCATCGTGGTCAGCGGTGAGGAGCAGCATGGATGGGTACTGGATGTCATCTGCCTCCGGCAACTTCACGTTATGCAATGGAGAGTATCTGAAAGGCAGAAATGCTTTTGTGACACTAGAAAGCACTCGGATGATCAAGGAGGGCTGGTGGGTGCAGTGACCCATGCTGTTTACCAGCTGATGTCATGAGGACTGCTGTTAACTAGGCCTCCAGTGACCACAACTGCATTGAATAGTCTCGGGTTCTGGGAGCTGTGTCATTTACTTGGCACCTGCTTTGGAAGAATGTGCAAGAAGGAAACCCAGGTTGGAATGAGCCCAACTCCATACAAACTTACTCTCTTAAGTAGAAATGTCCATGTTTTTATAGTCATTTTTTTTTCACTCTGCCAAGTGAACTGACTGTCTTTTAAAACCAGGGGTTGTGGGTATCATAGGTATAAGTTTGCAGTTGTTGAAGAACTTGGGATCCACAGTGTCCCTTTAATATACATAAAACTTTTTTTTTTCCCCCAGGCTCAGCTTTGTATTCTTAGGAGACTAGGCCCAGAGAGGACATGTGTTCCTTCGTCTGAACCAGGGAAGCTGGCATGGGCTGCTGACCTCCTGTAGAAAGAAACTGCCCTTGGCCAATGGAGAGTGAGTCAGTGGAGGCACCTTCTGAGGTACAAGGTAAGCTTCCAGGAATGTTAACAAAAAGGGTTTTAGGAACTGAAGTATAGTCGAATTAAATAGTGTTGATGACAGTCAAGTATCAGAAGTAATGGTATTTTTTCCTTTAATTTTATCCAATATAAGGTATCAGGTTTTTCAAAGGGTTCAGTATTAATGGATATGGTTAACTTTTTATAAACAGTGAAGATTCTGCTTAGGTAACAAGTCAAAGCTAACACATTCTGGGCCTCCCCTGGTGGTGCAGCGGTTGAGCGCTGGGTTGCAAGGCTGCCCGCAGCCTCTGCAGCGCCAGTTCGATCCCCGGCCACTGGCGAGGGTCCCCCCCCCCAAAAAAAAAAAAAAGCTAACACATTCTGTAGCCTGGTCTCCTAATATATAAGATGGGGGTAGCTATGGATCTGTTTTCTCATTTTAGAGTATTTTTGGAAGGACTCTTGCCTAGAGAGAAGGGTTGATATTAAACAAGCTTCTGTTATGCTTTGTCTCAGCAATTCTCAAACCTAGAAGTCCTGCTCTTTTGGGGGCACACAGGTTTGAGCAGCAACCTGTAAGGCCTGGGCAAGCCTGACCTCTGCTCATTTAGCAGCTGCAGGTGAGAGGAAAATACAGGCCTGTGAGTGCGGGTTTGAAGTAGGAATATCACATTTTGAAAAAAAAAAAAAAATAGAATTTTACTTTTCTTTCAAATGAATTTTAGAAATACTGAGCTCCATATTTTGTTGCTCTCAATGAACTCCATTGTTTCCAAATGAATTTAAATGGGGTTTATCCCCAAGGGTATTTTTCCCTTGTGTTAACAGCTTTTATTAGTAGTATCAATGAGGATATTTGTATATTTAAAAGTATAGCTTTCAAAATAAATCTCCCCAAACTAAATTTCTTATTTGAAAAGTATTCAATTAAAAAGTACAGTCTATGAACTTTCACTTAATTTTTAAGTGGAGAGCTAGAAATGAAAGTTGGCTGAAAAGACTAGGATAGGGGAAACAGACTTCCGTGGTTTCCCAAGAAGCCATTCCTAAATACTGCACATAGAATCTAAAAATCCCTAATGATGAAAGTAAAGAGAGTGAACAACCAAGAATGAAACTTGAAGTTTTGAGAACCTAAATGCTTGCCACGTCTCAGTTATCACCAAAGGTGGTATTGCGGATTTAAAGGAAAGTTGTACAATATTGCAATAATGCATCTATAGTTTCAAATATATTTGCTATACTGAGAGTACAAAATAAGTTTCATTTTCAATTATGCTTTAGTATTTGTTTCCTTATTTAGAAAAAGAAGTCCTATGTATACTGATATAAACAGGTGTCACTGTACCTATGTTAGTTTTTGATTGGTGCAGTAAGAAATATACTATAAATCCGGCAGCTTAAAACAAACTTCTAACTCACAGTTCTGTAGTCACAAGTCTGGGTTGGCTCAGCTGGCTGGGCTTTTGAGAAATTCTGGTAAGTTTCATATGTTGTAGGAGCTGTAGGGCTAAGGTCCCCATTTCTTTGGCTGGAGTTTATTCTTAAGGTTCTAGAGGCCCTCTTCCTCTACCACCAGAGAAAGTGCTCTGCCTTGAAGAGCTCACGTTGGGGTCATAAGATTGGATGCACTGGGAGAATCCAGGGTGATGTCCTTATTTTGAAGATTAGTAACTTGCATTTCCTTTGTAAAGTCCCTGTACATAGCAGTGTCTAAATTACTATTTGAATAACAAGGGGACAAGGACTTTGGGGACCTACCATATAGGTGTAGTTTGTTGTTAAAGAACAGATTAAAACAAGAAAGACAGGTATTTCCAGCTCTTTTTCCTACCTTTGCAGCAAATTTGAGTTGACCCTTGAACAATGCAGGGGTGAGAGTCTAGGGGTGCTGACTTCCCACAATTACTCACAGGTTGCTGTTGACTGGGAAGCCTTACCGATAATAGTTGATTACAAAGTATGCAGTGTTACTCTACAGTTTATGTTAGAGGCTAGAAAATGTTATCAATAACATCATGGCCAAATTTGTGTTTATTGAAAAGAAATCTGCATATAAGTGAGCCCTTGCAGATCAAACCCATGTTGTTCAAGGGTCCACTGTACATGCAGATACGAAACACTGAAGGAAACAGTCATCCTTTTGACTGTATTCATGTTATTTCAAATCATTAACATATATACATCAACATGAATCAAAAACTTACTTAATAAGCCAGTCAAAGTGCTGTTTGCTGTCTGAGCACCCATAATCGGTGGTCCAGGCATGACCGATAGTGTATTTATGGAACTTCAGCATGTCCATTACTCCAACTTGGGCAATCACACAACCAAAGAGGTCAGGGCGCTGATTTGCACAAGCAGCTAAGAAACCGCGAAAAGAAAAGATCAAGTCCTTCATTAAACATCAATACAGTATTTAAGTTCTTTCCAAACCCTGGCTGCCTTTCTTTCTTAGAGCAGAGGAAGAAGCCATCAACTCACCAACTCAATTGTCCATAAGCCTTTTTCCTTCCTTCTGATATATCTGAGCGGGGGGATTGTCTCATCAGTAATAGAGATTTACTCTCCAAAGGAATATCGATGGAGGGCGTTAGTAGAAAAGCTCAGGGGCTGGTGTGTCCGCCTAGTCCCATCCCCACTGGTTTAATGATAGGAGGTAAGGAACTTGTTCAGGACTGTGACGGAAATATCCTGAGTAACACTCGTAAACATCTAGAATATTTTGGGTTTTGTCACTGGTTCCTGGCACAGATCTCCGAAAGCCCTCGGAAGTTCCTGAGTAATAAGGGTAAGAGCATTGTCTTTCACAACCATCCCCTTTCAACCATATCTGTTCATTCTATTAATGTGTTGCTTGGTGGTCCTCTAGAGAGCTTCACTGGGGGTTTGTTGCCAGAGGAAACCACCATATGATTAGAGGGGTGGGAATTTCAGACCCATCCCTAACTTCTAGGGAGGGGAGAGGGGCTGGAAAGGGAATCATTAGTATCTACTGCTAAACTGATTAACTGCATGATATAACTTCCATAACACCCTCTAAACAGTGGGGTCTGGAGACACAGCAAGGCACTGTGTCCAGTTAGAGCGGGAGTTCTGTAAGCACCCTCCCACCCCGTACCTCAACCATGCGTCTCTCCCAGCTGACTGTTCCCCAGTTGTATCTTTTATGAAAAACAGGTAAGTGCAGAAGTGTTCCTGAGTTCTAACAAATTATCAGACCTAAGGAGGGGGACCTGGAAGCCTCCAGTTTATACATGCAGGAACCCTGGGACGTGCCCTGGAGTCTGAAGTAGGGACAGCCCTTGCCCTGTGACGTCTGCACAAACTCAGGTAGTGTAAGAAGTGAACTGAATTGTAGGACACCCAGTTGGTGTTTGGAAAGTTGGATGATGTGGATAAAAAAAATCTCTATTCCTTTGGTGTCAGAATTGTTTCTAGTAGAAAAAGTTCATATAGCCGAAGCTAGAACAGGACCTAAAGCCTAGTTCAGCAATTTAACCAATATTAGCAACGCTGTATTTTGAAATTTCTCTTCTTGGCATAATTTTTTTTTTTTTGGATAACTGGTGCCTGACTTTGGGCCTAAGGACGAGCCAATGGATATTTTAGTGGGGAAGTGGAAGAACTGAACAAACAATTAAAATACAGTGTGGTGATGTCAGTACAGTGAGATAGGTCAGATACCTGACCTGGTTAAGACAGCTGGGGGGGCTCTGGGAGGAAGGGACCACAAAGCTGGTATGATTAGGGGACAGTCCAGGGATGTGGACTTTTTTGCTTCTGGCAAAAAAACAGTTCCAACTCCAATTATTTTAGTGCTTACTCCTAATACTGAATCCTGTGCCCTACTCGAGGCGATCCCAATTCTTTCATAAATGGGAGAGCAGGCATCTGTACTAAGACACCTTAGCAGATTCCTTAAGGGACCTAGTTTGTCAACAGGCATAAACCAATTCTTGAATTTAAATCTCTGAATATAAAATGGAGTTCTCAGAGGAATCAGTAAATTACAATATAATTCTTCTGATATTAAAATCAGATGGTGTTTTCAAATGCCTGTTCCTATTAAAGCCCAAACTTGTTCTTCCATTTCATATTCAGTTGGCTCAAAATCAAAACAGTCCACACTGGCCTGAGGGTCTATGGTTTTATCATCTGCCACCTCTGACTAGAACAAAAACTCTGAGAAGGCAGGTTCTTTAGGATAGGCCCAGTACCTGGAAAAGTGCCAAGCCCTTTTTGTTGCTATTTGTTGGACAAATGGATCAAATTTGGTATATATTAGTATTTGGAATTTAAGAATTTTTATCAACCTCAAAACCCTAAGTTTAAATAAATTTATTTTGGACAAATATTTTATCTCCATTGGAAAAATTTCCCTATATTTTGTCATTTTTTCAGATGCCGGAATACAAATGGGCTTTCTTTGTACCACTGCTTCCGTCCATGAGCCCAAAGCAAATCTGTCTGTAGACAGTGTATCTGAATACCCCAAAAGCGTTAACTAGTGAGTACAATAACTAAAATCCAGTTCTTACCCACTAAAAGGCCTCCATTTGAACCTCCGTTAATAGTCAGCCTCTTGGGAGACGTGTAACCTTCCTTGATAAGATACTCAGCAGCACGCTGAAAATCATCAAAGCAATTTTGTTTGTTGGCCAAGATCCCACCTATAAGGTGCCAAGGTGAAAGGTAAGTTAATAACACAAAACACTGAAAAAGTAAGTTTAACCTAGTCACCATTACAAAAAAAGGACTCAATTTAAATTTCTTTACATAGTATGGAAATCCATAGTCAATACCACGATAGCCAATCTATGTGGTAGGTGTGTATTTTTCTAAAAATTTCTAGAATTTAAAAGGTATAGGACCGCAAAGAAAGATGTGATCTGTTACGTAACAGAAGCACCAGAATGAAAGCACATGTTATCAGAATATTTTGGAGAAGCTGAACTTAGAAATGCAGAAAGGCATGGTGCAGTGTTCAGTCCTGAGCTTCACACACGGCAACGGGGGCTGCCTGTGCATCCTTCTCTTTGTGGGAGCCTGAAATGGCTAAGTGATGACAGGAAGTAAGTCTCTAATTTTGTCCTAAGTTAGTTATTTACGAATGTGAGTAGGAATTAGATGGGGAGGTGGTGCTGCTTGGGAGAAGCCTGTTAAGGTTTCTCTAATCTTGAATGAAGAACATCTCTTTAGAGACTCATCTGGAAGCCATTCCGATGTATAAAATCAAATTAGAGAGGGACAATGCAGGGTCTAAGAATGTCTAGAAATAAAGGCCAAAAGTCAAAGGCATGTCTTCAAAGGCACTGATGCCTGAGATAACTGCCTATGAAATGAACTAAAAGCAGACATGGGCCTAATTAGACAGTTGAGATTAGCCACTTTTACAGAAATTCAATTAAAGATGAAGCAGTGTGACTAAAGGATTTTTCATATCAAAACAAATGTTATTAAGAAATTACCAGTGAATTAGAACAGCTAGGATTACTTAGTTCCCAGCAATAATATCCTTTTGGGTACATGACTGTATTTTTAAGAGGATTACATTTTATACTCAATTAACAAAATGGAATTTAGATTTATCAGTGATGTACATGTGAGGCTCAAGGTCCACCTTGGGTCCTTAAACTGTCTAAATTTGGAGAAAGTTTATTTCTCAGTCTAAACAGTCAACACTAGCCTGAGTCAAGCTCCAATCTGCACTGTCCCCAAGATTTTTGGACAAATGGTTCTAACTGAGAGATGAGAAAAGGAGGGTCAACTAGGACTAGGGACTCTTTCCTATCAGAGCATAGTGAGCCACTGATGACTGAGGCGGTTTCAAGGAAAGAGCCAAGGTTCTCTGAGAGGATCACAGATCAGGCGTCTGTGAGGGAGGAGTAAGTGAGGACACCACAACACTAGGAAGCCAGGTGAGTCAAGGGGTGTAAATACCTTATATGGAGACGTTTTATCCTATCAGTCATCTTTTAACATCAATATCCAATATAGTATCATAGTATGATTTTAATGCAAAATAAACTAATGAATTCTGTGCCACTTCAAATACAGAGACGATGACACAGTCCTCAGGTTGACACCTGGCAGCAGTTCACCTGATGGTGGCAGTTAGGATGGGGGCCTATGAATTGGTTAGGAATACTCACTCTTGCTAAGATGCTTAAATAGCTTAAATCCTTGGGGTGAAGCTCAAGCCCACATCTGGGCTTTTCCTGTAACCTGACATAGGGGTATTTATAAATTTCTTTACAGAGCTAGCCTCATCTTCATGATTTCGTGTGATACAGAAAACCACAACCTTTGATCTCAGGCTGGGGAAGATGGAGAAGCACAAATTAAATCCCAGATCTGAAGAGGGGTCTCCTGTTCTTACTGTGGGAGAAGACCCCTCTTCTGTGCAGCTGACTGACCCCGACAGCCTTCCCTTAAAAGTTGCTGATGATGCAAGAGGTAGCAGCTTAGAGCTGGGGGGAGTGAGGACCGTTCCTATACTCTCCTTCCCCAGGAATAAGGCAAGTGAAGGGCGCCTTCTTTTCACTATAGGTTAGCCTGTGAATTCCAGAGACACAGAAGCCTGGGGAGAGGGGGTGAGCTCCATATATAAAGAAAAAAAAGATGGAGTTCAGATTATTATTCTTTAAAAATATTGTGAGACTCTTAGGAATGATGCTGAGTACAGAACACTATCCTCAATCAACCAGAAGACATGCGTCAAGAGGCCAGAGCATGGAAACAATATCATTAAAACCAGAAAAGGACCAAATTCTTGCATATAAAACCTGCCTGTGGGAAAGTCAGGCAGCAAGACTAGGAGGTTGCGACTTCTTAGCAGTGCTGGGAAAATGAGAAACAAAAGGAAAGCTCTATTTTAGATCACTCTTTTAAGAGAAAAGGACTTGTTTTGAAGTTCATTTCCAGCTAGCCAATTAAACAGTAGAAGCCAGGCTAGCAGGAGACAGTGCCCTGAGACTCCGTCATGATAGTGACAAAGATGGAAAAGATGCTTATATTTCATTTCACCAAATGCCCTTCTGTTTCTATCCCTCTCAGCTCATTCACACACAGCCCTGAGTGCTGTGTGTTTCTGCAGTGAGCGAAGACCTTACCTTTATGCCACATCTCTCCGTATTCGCCGCCGCCTCTGATATTGGCCACTGCAAGCACCCCGCCCAGGTGTCTCACAAAAATAAGTCTGGAGACGCTGAGAAACAGTAAAAATGATTAACCTTCCTTTCACTGCTTAGTAAGTATTACGTTATCTCCATCTCAAACAACAACAAAGTGTCCTGCGTAAGACTCCACGTATATACTATGTAAGCAAGAGCTCAATTTTTGTCACTTGATTAAAGCGAAAAATATGTAACTTCTGATTAATATTTAATGGCAGGAATCATATACTGAAAGCTCATGAAAATTTATATCTCATTTTTCCATATTGGTGAATATTGCTCTATGCAAAGCAGGAACACACAAATTACAGTGCCAGCTAAATATCTTCACGAAATACTGCCAACCATGGGACAGGCCCCAGGGTACTGGGCTTGGACAAACACACAACAATGACCCCAAATTACTGCAGTTGGGAAAAAGGCTTTTTCTGGAACATGGATTTTAAACGGGTTTTCCAGAAAATCAGATGCTAAACTACATAGAGTGAGAGAGAGGTAAAGAAGCAGATAAATGACAAAGACCAGAAAATAAGAATGGGGTGCTCTGGGCAATGTTCTCCAGGAATAACTATAGCACAAACTTATAGGAAAAAATTAAGTCCTTTGGGAAATTTGGATTTTGTTTTTCTTTTCCTCTATTCTACCCTAAAAGTGTTGAGTGACATTTAAATTTTTCTATTGATATTTGTTAAAATTAATTTTGCTTTGGGGATTATTTCTGAGAACTTTATCATTCTTTTTATTGGAGAAACTGTGGGCCTCTGCAACCTGAGGCTCTAAGCTGGTCTGAGTGTCAATTTCCTGAATACTGAGGGACAAGAGGATAGGACAGTTGGGGTGGGTATACCAGACCACACAGCCATACCTTGCTGGCCAAATGGGTATTCCGTCATTTGTTCACTTTTTTTTTTTTAAGGAAAGTTCCTCTATTTTTTTCTTTTTTATAGAGGCATGTTTTGTTTGTTTATACAAGCACTGGGTACAGTCAGAAGCGAGAGGGTGAGAGAATTCACCAGAGCGGGGAGCAGAGCAGGCAGAAGGACCGAAGTACACTGCTGAGGGGAGCAGTGGGCGGCAGGAGAGGTCTGCGCGCCATGTGGGACCCTCCTCTGGTGGCCGGGGATCAAACCGGCGCCACAGAGGCTGCAGGCAGCTTCGCAACCCAGTGCTCCCCTCCTCCAGTGGCCGGGGAGCAGCCGGGAATCAAACCGGCGCTGCAGAGACTGCGGGCAGCTTCGCAACCCAGAGCTCAGCCGCTGAGCCGGGACCCTCCTCCAGTGGCCGGGGAGCAGCCGGGGATCGAACCGGCGCTGCAGAGGCTGCAGGCAGCTTCGCAACCCAGCGCTCAACCGCTGTGCCACCGGGGGAGGCCCTCTGCCAACTAGTTTTAAAGTACTCATAACACCTTACAGAGCTTCTGAAAACATTGCTCTACATAATACAAGCTTACAGTTTCTGAATAACAAAAGATATAATCACTCTTAAGGCAAGTTCCCAATTTGGCTATAAACCACTCAGGGGCCAGAACCGTGTTTCATACTTTATTAAATCCTAAATGATCAACAGAGCTCTCTGCTAATAGCAAACGCGCAAACCGACAGTTTCCTTGTATTTAAATTTGGGACAGCTGGCTCAGTCTCCTCTCAAGATATGTCCTACTAGCCACCAGGTCACAAATCTCTTCCCGATAGGAAAGATCCTGGATGAATTTGTGAGTCAGATCTCATATGAGGTGTTGGCTCGAAAGCTGATGGGGGAACTCCTTTTTTCATTAAATATGCTCAGGACAAATTCAGTTTTATACTATGACTACACATTTCTCTGATTATAAGTGATGTGACAAATAATCACAGAAACATAATCACAGAAACAGTTTAAAATGCATGAATAGTGTATAATGAAAATATATTGATGGCTAAAATCTAAGATAGTCTAAGACTGATGCAGAAAAATAGAATCACTGCCTAAAACATTCCCTCTGAAGAGACTTCTGAAGACAAAAAATAGCTTGGGACGAAATGTCTGACCAGAACTGCACACAATTAACACATAATCCTGCCCTTCCATAAAAACAAGAACTGTATTAGAAAAACTCGATTTAGTGACCATTTTTCCAGTTTCTTGCTACCAACTCTATACAGAAGTTCCAGGAATGTTCACCACTTACCTATAGTTGGGGGTGATGGATATATTGAAGCCACCATAGCCGTATAAGAAAGCAGGGTGAGAGCCGTCCAGCTTGATGCCCTTTTTATGCACAATGAACATTGGAATTTTTGTACCATCCTTGCTAGGATAGAAAATCTGGAACAAGGGGGGGGGGTAATTAAAGTTAGCATTATTTAGTGAACATTTGCATGCTTTTAAATAGGGAAAATATAGAGATAGTAAATACTCTCTTCAAGATGGAGAGCAGCAGGATGAAAATCTAGTACCACTAAAGGTATCTGATGATGAAGCAGCTTCCAGTTTTTATGGAGGGAGCTGTAAGTAGTGAAAAGTACATGGGCCTGAACACAGGAGGCTGGAATTGGAGTTCTTTTTCTGCAACAACCTCGTTAGGTTACCTTGGGCAAGCGGCTTATCCTCTCTCCCTTCAGTTTTTCACCCCCAGATGAGGCCATCAGGCCTACTTCTTATACCTTCACAAGGCACACACAGAAGACAGATTTGCAACATTGGAAAGCATAAGATTTGGCCATCCTGTCAAACAATTCAATCTATAGATATTTCTTTTCTAGAAAACAAATTAAAACTTCCTCTCTAAATGTTAAGACACTTGGCTCATCTGCATTTCTCCATGTTCAACTATTTGATAAATGTTAGCAATTATCTTAGAGAGTGGATGAAGAATGACATAGAAATCCTATTATCCCAAGTTAAACAAACATATTTTCTCCAGTAGTGATAATCAAGACTCATTAAACTTTCCTGAATATGGGTGACTTTAGGCAAGTTCAGTAAAAATTTCTATATTCATTACTTTTTGGGGGAAAAAATATAAGAGATAAAGGGTGAGAAAGAGAATATTAAATACTATTCGAGTGATAAGGCACAGAGTAAGTGATTTGCTTGCAAGGCTAATGATGGCTTCTTCCAGACTGAAAATTTGTCAATAGCTTTCTCTTGGGCAAATGTGGTCTTTACGCTGCTGACACCCCTGGAAAGAGCCCCAACTCAGAAAGGTCTTGTTCACCTTCCATGTTACAGTTACACAATGACTTGGAGCCATATTCCAGCCAAAGCTTGTCAAGGTAGCAGTTTTATTATAGAAAGTTGCTACAGCAACTAAACAGCAGGGACAGGGAGGCTGGGGGGAGAGGCCGGTGATGCAGATTTGAGAAAGGCGCTCCAGGGCCACAAAAAATGCCTGCAAGTCTGGTAGTTTTTGAAACTTGCTAAGAAATATTATGAAAAGCACTTCTGATTTGGGAGAAATACTGAGAGATACATAAATTTGGTGGTTTAGGAATAACAGAATACTTTGCATGCAGAATTCAGAGCCATCAGAGAGGACACAGATTTATTTAAAGTCCTTTAGTGCCAATGAGCAGCCACTAATGGGCTGTAACTGTGTGGGTGATGCAAGTAAATGCAGAGTACAAGGAGCACGTGTCAAGCCATTAGCTGGGGACAATGAGCGAAAACACAGAGCCTCCCACTCCGGAGAATCTGGAGCTCTATAACCACGGAGGCAAGAGCCTTGAAGGAGCAAACTGTTGCACGTGCTTCTACCTTAACTGAATCATCTGCTAAAAAAATACTGTTCCTGCCCTGCAGCTAGCCCCAATTTCCCACCCATCCTCAAATCTTGCCCTGGCGGCTAGTCCCTCTGATTTAGCGCAGCTCTCTGGAGGACAAAGCCTCCATCCACATCTCCACTGGGTCGCTAGAGCAGGTGCCTCCGGTCCCCACTGTGCTGACTCTGGGCCCTCCTGCCCACAGGTGCTCCATCTCTGCTATTAACAATCTGGCTTCCTTTTCTGGTACCACTTTTCTTGCTACACTCGTAGGATTTCCACAAGTCTGGGGTGGAGCCCCCAAACCTGCTATTTAGTATGTCCCCTAGCTATTCTGATACCGGTGAGGTAAGACAAAAAATCAAGTCATGCCATTTGCTTCTGTCACATTGCCTCTGTCCTCATCCATTCTATCCATTGAAACCAGATATTTTCCCATGACCCCTAGCCCAGCATCCTCCATAACCCCAGATAGAGAGGGATCACTCAGCCTGGACTACATTTCTTACAGCCCCACCACTACTTCACTCATCTAATGAACACCTCGGGTACTTTCTCTCTGTCAAATAATCTCATTTCTTCTCTGTAACAAGACCCCAAAACTTCTGTGTAATCCTCTCTACCCCTTAAGTTAAACTGCCACCTCCTCCTTTCTTCTTGATCACACATATACACAGTAACTCAGGCCCATGGCTCATCCTTTGCTACGTCTTCATCATCCCTCTTTCTCCGTCGACACTCTTTCAAAGGGCATCAATGAACACTTGTCTCCCTCCTTGCCCTTCCATCCCTACTTCTATTCCAGAGTTGTATATCCTTCCCAACTTTTTCATAAGTATAGCTACAGATATATGCACACATACAAGTTATTATAGTGCAGTACATGGAATCAGACTAATACTGGGTTATATCTTACTCCTCACATAGCAAGACGTGGAATTCTTAAAAGAATTAAAACACCCAGATTTGCCTAATATTTCACTGTATGGATAAATACAATTTTTTAAACCACTTGCTCCCCAATGGTTATTTCTGTTATCAACAATGACAGAATAAATCCCTCTTAGATAAATCTTTCATATTCATTCATATGATGTCTATATTTCCTTAGACATTAGATTGCTAGATCATAATATATGTACATCTAAAATGTCAACAGAGTCTGACAATTCTTTTAAAACAGTATATCAACTTAAACTCCTAGTGAGAATGACTACCTGTCTATTTTTCTTTGATAGTGGATATTAAAAAAGGTTTTAATTTTTGCTAGTTTAATAGGCAAACAGTCCCGTCTCATTATTGCTTTAAAAATCAGTTTTCAAGTGGTCGCTACATGCAAAAGAATGAAGCTTGACCACTACCTCACACCATACACAAAAATCAACTCAAAATGGATTAAAGAACTAGACATAAGACCTGAAACCATAAAATACATAGAAGGAAATATAGACGAGACACTACGTGATATGCACATCAAAGACATCTTTACAGACACATCACCCAAAGCAGTGATAGTGAAGGCAAAGATAAACAGCTGGGACTACATCAAATTAAAGAGCTTCTGCACAGCAAAAGAGACAGTAACAAAAACAAAGAGAAACCCCACCAACTGGGAGAACATTTTTGCACACAACACTAATGATAAAGGACTGATCACAAAAATCTGCAAAGAGCTGATGAGACTCAGCAACAACAAAGAAAATAATCCAGTCAAAAAATGGGCAGAAGAGCTAAAAAGAAACTTCTCTGAAGAGGAAATGCAAATGGCCAATAGGCATATGAAAAAATGTTCACCATCACTTGTAATCAGGGAAATGCAAATCAAAACTACCATGAGATACCATCTTACACCAGTGAGAATGGCACATATTAAAAAAACTAGCAACAACAAATGTTGGCGAGGATGTGGAGAAAAAGGAACTCTTCTGCATTGTTGGTGGGAGTGCAAACTGGTCCAACCACTATGGAGAGCTGTGTGGAGATTTCTGGACCTACTAAACATAGAGCTTCCATATGATCCAGCAATTCCACTCCTAGGTATTTACCCAAAGGACACAGAAACATCAATTCCAAAGAACACCTGCACCCCTATGTTTATAGCAGCACTATTTACAATAGCTAAGCTTTGGAAACAACCCAAAAGCCCAAAAATAGATGACTGGATCAAGAAGATGTGGTACATATACACCATGGAATATTACTCAGCATTCAAAAAAGATAAACACATGCAATTTGCAGCCACATGGATGGTGCTGGAAGGGATCATGCTCAGTGAAATAAGTCAGAAAGAAAAAGAAAAATACCAGATGGTCTCACTCATAGCAGGAATCTAGAAAACTTAAATAAGGGACCAGGAAAATGAATAACTATAAGAAAGTGAAAATCAAAATCAACAAAAAACTATGAACCAGAGACTCTATGGGGAGTGGAGGGCGGGGAGGGGAGGGATTGGGGTCAAAATAAGGGGGTTGCAATTGTATGGGGAATATAAAAATAAAATTTATTTAAAAAAATAGTCTCTTGTTAAAAGCATTAAAGTGTGTTTTCTGCTAAGATAATGTGGATAAGAGTAGATATATAAAAATCATTATAGCCAATTATTATAAAGTTTTGTGTTTTTTTTAAACATTTATTTATTTATACAAGCACGGGAAGCGCGGGAGGGTGAGAGAATTCACCAGAGCCAGAGCGGGGAGCAGAGCAGGCAGAAGGACCGAAGTACACTGCTGAGGGGAGCAGCGGGCAGCAGGAGAGGTCTGCGCGCCATGTGGGACACTCCTCCAGTGGCCGGGGAGCAGCCGGGATCGAACCGGCGCTGCAGAGGCTGCGGGGCAGCTTCGCAACCCAGCGCTCAACCGCTGCGCCACCGGGGAGGCCCTATTATAAAGTTTTTATAATGATAAAAAATCAGTTTTCAAATTAGCAAACATTTTAATCTAATTATGAGTCATTTTATATCTTTCCTCAGTGAACAAAATATGCCTACCCTTTTATTACTTCGATGATTAACGGAAATCTTTTTACATTAAGGATATTAACCATTAACCATTTTCTGTCATATGTTTTGCTTTTATTTCCTCCCAGTCACAAAATAGGATCCCTTGACTCCAAGTTATAAAAATAGCTGTCCATATTTTCATTTTTACATTTAAACTTTTAATCCAGATGGAGTTTGCTTTCATTTTTACATGTGGTCTAGGATATTACCACTTTGCTTCCCAAATAGCCACCAACGAGATACCATTTCTGTAAGCATTACTTTTTTCCCCTCACTGTTCAGAAATGCCATTTTATTCTGGTTTCTTCCCAGGCTTCATTTCTCTCAATCCCTAAGTAGTAACTGCTTCTTTGGCTTTTGGGAAAAGTATATCTCTGGTTCCTTTTTAGTCCTCTAATTCTTTTTCAACTTTCCTAATGGATCCACTACTGACTGTTTTCCTCCTGCCAAGTGCTGCTGTTTTGTAATGCTTTGTACTTGGCTTTCTCTTTTCTTTCTGCTTGGCTTTCTCTTTTCTCTCAGATCCCCCATTTGCCATCATGGCACGCGTCACCACTGTATCATGG